CATTTCAAAAATTCTTGAGATGCTATGAAGGCAAAAGAAGCCTGCAGACCATTTAGGCTGTGACTTTGCAACTCCAAGTATTTTAGTGCTGTTTTTTCTCATGTGAGGAAGCTGCAGTCTCCAAAAGAGAAGATTTGCAAATGTGACTTGCTGGTTAATGACAGACACTAGGAGAGAACCCAGCCTTGACCCCCCGCTCACCTAGCAGGCTTGCCTGCACCCGGACCCTGCCACTGCTCGCCCCTCAGGGCAGGAGTGGGTACCAGGGAGGTGAAACTTGCTTACCCTTGCCCAGTCCTGAGATGGCATCGGTGATCACCACCACTTTGTTCTGCACGGCTGACTTTGACCACAGCCTGGACACCTCTTGGTAGATGAAGAGCAGGCCACTGATTCCCAAGAGCAGCAAAGGCAGGATCAGCACAGCTGTGACTCCCATCTTGTTCTGGGGGAAATGTTGGAAAGGAATTGACTTTTGCAAAGAATCGGAAAATTCTTGGGTGGCCCAAGGCTGCAGGGCACAGGCACTCATGCACCAAGCCCTGTGTCCTCTCCAGGGAGCTGGGCTCTCTGCACACCCCAGGGCTGCTTCCGAGCTGAACACCCTGCTAATCCCCAAATGTCCAATGAATAGGAAATTACTCACGATGTCTCGAAAGCCAACTGAATCCAGGGGCCTGCCCTCTCGAAGGTTAATTGAATTTAATTAAAATGGGTCTGCATTTTTGGAAGGAAATCCATGTGTTAAGGCCACTTGCTGGGGGCCCTAATGGCTATTTATAGCTCTCAGTGCACCAAAGGCTTTTCAGGGTAAATATAGTGCCTGTTCTGATATTCAGAGACACATGCTGGCCGGGTCTGATTTCAGAGTTCCTGCCAAGACTTTCAAAGCTCTCTGGCTTGCCTGACTATTAGAGGTTTCCTCTTCAGTTTGAGGCTAGTCATTAGGGATCAGGACCTGGGATTTCAGCACAAACATCCTTGCCCTCACTTCCTGTAGCCCTCCTATAGGTGGCTTGGGCAGGCATGGCAGTGAGCCAGCTGGCCTTCCGTCTGGTTGAGGATGAGAAGCACAGAAAACCTGTTAACCAGAATGGAGCCTATTGCAGAATAAACCACTTGGACGAGTGACATGAACTATTAGAAAGAGCAGAGTCTGGGGAGTGTTTCTCATGAATCACGGCAATCTGCCTTGCTGAGGCTTAGCTTCCTCATCTGTGAAATGGGCATGACAGCCCATCTTGCAGGACTATTGGGAGGAAAAAATAAGATACTGGCCATTTACCTGTCTCATAAGAAGATAACCATTGCAACCTTTTTAATGATTAAGAATATTAAGGGTTTATCCCAAACATTAAATATTTAAATTATACCAGGGAAGTCAGAAGGATTAGAACTGGGAAGAAATAAACAGCTAATCTGCAATTCAAGTACTCACAGCATAAAAGAAACAAAAAACCTGTCAGAATGGCATCCTAATTTGCAGTTAAGATGGACCCAGAGCATTTTTTAAAAAAACAACTTTTTGTTGACCTGTAGTCTACTAGAAATATGCACATATCCGAAGCGTGGCACTTCATAAACTGAACACATCTGTGAGATCAGCCCCGGGTCAAGAAACAGCATTGGGTCCTGGCTGGTGTGGCTCAGTGGATTGAATGCAGTCCTGTGAACCAAAATGTTGCTGGTTCGATTCCTAGTCAGGCAACATGCCTGGGTTGTGGGCTAGGTCCCCGGTTGGGGGCATGTAAGAGGCAAATGATCAATTTGTCTCTCACGTATCTGTGGTTCTCTCCCTCTGTTTCCTTCTCTTTCCTCCTTTCTCTAAAGGTAAATAAATAGAATCTTTAAAAAAAAGGAATAGCATAAGCCCTGGATGGTGTAGCACAGTGGATTGAGCGTGGGCCTGCGAACCAGACAATCGCGGTTCAATTCCCAGTCAGGGCACATGCCAGGGTTGCAGGCTGGTTCCCAACAGGGGATGCAAGAAAGGCAACCACACATTGATGTTTCTCTCCCTCTCTCCTTCCCTTCTTCTCTAAAAATTAAAAAAAAAAAAAAAAAGGAATAGCATATTGGCCCCATGCCCACACCATGTTTCTTTCTAGCCCATAAGGGTAACTGCTTCCTCACTTTTAAAAGCAGGTATGTTTTACCTGTGCTTTAAAACATTTAAAAATTATTTATTTATTTATTTTTAGAGAGAGGGGGAGGGAGGGAGAAAGAGAGGGTAAGAAACATCAATGTGTAGCTGCCTCTCACACACCCCCTACTGGGAACCTGGCCTGCAACCTAGGCATGTGCCCTGATGGGAATTGAACCAGTGACCCTTTGCTTTGCAGGCCAGCACTCAATCCACTGAGGTACATGAGCCAGGGTCCTTTCTTTTATTTAAATAGGTTCATGGGACTTCCGCCAAGATGGAGGTTTAGGTGGATGTGCCGTGCCTCCTCACACAACCAAGTTTAGGGACAACTAAATATTAGCATCAGAAAACACAACCAGAACACGGAAAACTGAACTTTTCGGAAGTCCGCTAACAACAAATTCTTCAGCCCGACCGGTAAGGGGCGAAACCGGCGTCGGGTGAGGAGTTACAAAGGAGGGCTCGGTTGGACCCGGGTGCGGAATCCAGACGTGCGAATCCAGTCGCACGGGTTCCAAACCCAGGATTGGACCTAGTAAGCGACCGAGCAACCCACCGGGTGAGCGACTACAGAGGAGACAGTGGGGAGGCGGTGGCAGCGAGTTGACTGTGGTTGCCTGGTTGCGCGCGAGTGAGGGAGTGAGCGGTTGGGCCGGACGCGCCGCCATTTCCCCGCTCTGACCACGCCCCCACATACAGCGTCACAACCCAGCGACCTGGGACTCCAAGGCGCCGCTTCTCCCACTTAAAGGGCCAGAACAGACCAAAAATGTCGCAGGAAGACCTCAAAGCCCCACAGATAAATCTAAGTGATGAAGAAATAGCAAAACTCTCAGACGCACAGTTTAAAACACTGGTCATCAGCTTCCTCACAGATCTGGTTGATTATAGCCACAAATTAGAGAAACATATGAAGGCTAAATTAAGGGAAATGAATGGAATTCCACAGGAAATCCATAGAGATGAAAAAAAAAAACTGGGACTCAAATCAATGGAGTGGACCAGAAGGAAGAAGAAAAAAATCATCAAACAGAAAGGAATGAAGAAATAAGAATTCAGAAAAATGAGGAGAAGCTTAGGAACCTCCAGGACATCTTTAAACGCTCCAATATCCGAATTATAGGGGTACCAGAAGGGGGAAAGACACAACCACCAGTGGAAAAACTATTTGAACAAATAATAAAAGAAAATTTCCCCAATCTGGCAAAGGAAATAGACTTCCAAGAAATCCAAGAAGCCCAGAGAGTACCAAAAAAGTTGGACTCAAGAAGAAACACACCAAGGCATATCATAATTACATTAGCCAAAATTAAAATGAAGGAAAGAATCCTGGAAGCAGCAAGAGGTAAGGGGGCAATCACCTACAAAGGAGTCCCCATCAGACTGTCAGCAGATTTCTCAAGAGACCTTACAGGCAAGAAGGGGCTGGAAAGAAATATTCCAAGTCATGAAATCTAAAGACCTACAACCAAGATTGCTCTATCCAGCAAAACTTTCATTTAGAATGGAAGGACAGATAAGGTGCTTCTCAGATAAGACCAAATTCAAGGAGTTCATCATCACCAAGCCCTTATTATATGAAATGTTAAAGGGACTTATCGAAGAAAAAGAAGTTAAAGAAACATGAACAGTGAAAGGACAACAAACTCACAGTTATTAACAACCACACCTAAAACGAAAGCAAACTAAAAGGACAGCTAGATCAGGAGTGGAAACATAGAAATGAAGATCTCAAGGAGGGTTAGCAACAGGGGAGTGGGAGGAGGAGATGGGGGGAGAAGGTACAGAAAACAAGTAGCATAGACAGTAGATAGAAAATAGATGGGGGGGCAAGAATAGTATGGGAAATATAGAACCTAAAGGACTTGAGACACATGGTCATAAACTAAAGGGGGGTAATGGTAGGGTTGGGGGGGCAGGGTGGAGGGGAATGAAGGGGGGAATAGAACAACTGTAACAGCATAATCAATTCAAAAAAATAAATAAATTTAAAAATTAAAAAAAAAAATAGGTTCATAAGTTAATGCTGTCCTGTTGAACAGGATGTTTGAGAGATTCAGCCATATCGTCGTGTGATGTTGGGGATCTTTATTGCGTTATCCACTTCCCATTTTCAATTTATTCTTCTGAGAGTGGGCACTGGGCTGGTTTTTGCATGGGGCTGTTACAGATAATGCTGCTACAGATACGTGGCTTTTAGTGGCATAAGCACTATTGTAATGCGAACACATTTGGCCTTTCGGACAGCAAAATAAGAAACTTTGGCCCCGATGGCCTTTGCATCTGGAGACATTGGCTGAGAAAAGTAAAACAAAGAGGCGAAGTCAACGTCTGCCCCACTGTCTTAGTGTCAAGGATTCCTCAACTTAAGCCCCTTCTGTTTCACACCACACCCATGAACAGGGCTGGAAGGGTTTTAAATTTGTTGAAATTATGAATTAGGGAACTTCAAAAGAGCATTTTTTGAGGTGCAGCTTACATGGGGAGGCTTAAAATATTAATATCATAATGTCTCTATGCCAAGGTTGGTTCGTTAATCATGTTGTGCAAACACGGCCACGGCTGTGATGGAACAATTCACAGCAGGCTCTTTATCTGAAGATAAGCCCCACAAAGGTACATGGTCCCTTGGAAAAGAGGTGGTATCTGGGTCTGTGGCAGTGTTGATGTGGTGACTTGTCTACGGCATTCCACCCGAAGACTAGTCAACACCCCCAGATGTCAGTGTGATGTTGCTAGAGGATGATTCAAGCTGTCCGTAAATATCACTCAGGCTATTTTTTATCACTCAATTAAGATTCTTTAATTTATTTTGCAACCATTATTGTTGCATAGCTATTATGAGCTGGGCCATGTTCTAAGTCATAGAAGTGAATGAAATAATGGCAGGTTTTAACCTTTTGTGCTGGGAAAAGGATAGTAAAGCCACAGGTAAATAATTGTACAGCATGCCAGGAAGTGATACATCCTGCAAGAGAAGACAAGCATCAGGGAACCGTGGTGTCCAGGCCGGAAACAAACTACCCTAGGTGACTCACATAGAGAGACTTTAATGGAAGGCCCCCTTACAGGGCTGTGGAAAGGTTAAAGAAACACAGGGGCTGAGAGGGCCCCCTGCTTCTGTCCTTGGGGACTTCTGCAGTTGTAATTCAGGTAAGCAGTGATGATGGACTCAGACATATTTAAAAAGTATAGCAGAGAGGGTTTGTTTATGGGTCGGACAGACGGGCATAAAAGAATAAATTTTACTCCAGGATTTTGACTCAAGCAATGAATAAAATAGAAGGTTTATTTGTTTGTTTTGTTTTTTATTAAGAAAGGATGAAGGAGGCAAAAACTGGGGATGGATGGGTACATTAGGAGTTTGGTTTTGTCTATATTAATTTTGAAATCCCTGTCAAATCTAAGTGAAGATGTTGAGTAGAAAGTACACCAGCCTGGAGGTATGCCCCTGGGAGAGGTCCCAGGCCAGGAGACATATTTGGGAATTATCACAGGCAGGTGGTACTGCTGGACATGCAATGGGAGAAGGTCACAGGGGAATATTTGAGGACTGAGCTCTTGGGCGCTCTAACATTTACAGGTTGGGGACCTGAAGAGGAATCAATAAAGGAAATGGAACAGGTATAGTCAGTGTGGTGGTAGAGATTCAACAGACCAGTGTCCCAGGGGTCAAATGATAATGGTCTTTTCAGGAAAGAGATGGCCTTTTGTGTTTGATGCTGCTGATTGGTCAAGTAAGATAATAAAGTCTGAGAAGCGACCTCAGCTTTAACAATGTGGAGTCACTGGTGGTGGGGACAGGACCGTCTGTGTGAACATTACTGTGAGTGTTCATTTCTCCCTCAGTCTTACCCTCAGTAGTCCTGAAATGTGCCAGCCCTGCGAGGTGGCTCATGATTCACTCGAACTCCCTACACCTTCGTCTTTGAAAGCACAGTCTTCTGCACAACTTGATACAGTATTTGAATGATGGCCTCACCAAGTCTGAAAGATGCTCAGAGCCATAAGCCTATGAGGCCCTGAAGAGCTTGGTTGAATAACATTAGGCACCTTCAACTGTGCCCCAAGGCCCTGGCAACCAGGAAGAGGCAGCACAGGGCAGTGGGTCCCCTGGCATGGAATCATGTTTGTACTCAAAGTTTTCAAGGGAGATTTGGGTATGAAAAGTCAGACCCACTAAGAGTGGTGGGGACTTCCTGTTCTTTCAACATAATTGCCAAAGATGAGATATATTCCAACAAAAACACATTCACTGGTCTACAAAGGAATTCTTGCTCTACTGCCCTACTTAGGAAAGGAAGTTGAAGATTTGCCTAACCCTGAAATAATGGTATTTGCTAGTCCAGGAATTGAGAATGGAGACTGAGCAGGACAAATGCATCCTTAGGGTTGAGGACCATCCTGGAACATCTGGAATGTGAAAGCCACAGTCTGAATCAGAGCAAGTCCCAGCCTGCCTTTCCTGGAGTCTCTCCAATCTTCTTGACTCCAAGCAGAAACCATGCCTGTAACAAAGTCTAGCTTTAAGCTATCTGTAGCTTCTAATTGCCCTAATCCATCTTTGAATCAGAGAAAAGTATTCCTCCACTGGCTTCCTCCCAGCATTTACAACCCCTTTACTTCACCCATAAGGCATTCCAGGACCCTGCCCTTTGACAGGCTTGCTTAGGGAGAGAAGAGGGCAGAAGACGATCTGTCTCCACTCTACCCCCAGAAAGGCAGCATGATGGGTTTGAAGTCCAACAGCATTGAGTCCAAATCTCAGTTACACTTTTGGCTTGTGTGCAGCCTCAGCACACAGTTAGACCCACTGAAGGTCACAGCCATCATCTGGAAATGGGAATGCTAATACTCTTACCTCCCTTGCTGCACCATGTGGAGAATTGGAATGAAAGAGGTGACGGGCTTGTATACCACCCCCAGGATGGTGGGGATCATCCCTGGGGTGATGGGTTTTTTTCTCCTTTCTCCCTGCCAATTTTCCCCTGGTCTGTGTTGGTCCTTCTCATTGCCTTCCCTCAGTGCATGTCAGGGCCCATTGCTGAGGTCCCTGGACTGGGTTGTGAGACAAAGGATGCCAGGCTCAGTCAGAAAATGTGAGTGCACATACTTTATAAAGAGTAAAGTGTTGGGTCACTGTCCCTTCTGGGCTATTCTCTGGGCTGAAATGCAGGTCCTGGGAGTGTGGTCTGTCTTTCCAGCCAGCATCAGCACTTGTTTTGCTACATGAAGCTGCTTCCTCTCCTTTGGAAGGGTGGGTGCTCCCAATCCACAGAGACACTCAGGCATAGGGCTGGGCCACTGTGGAGCGGGGAGCAAGGCTGGGGCAGGATGGTGGGTTGCCAGACTAGCCTAACATTTAAAAAATGTCTGGAATATTCAACCCGAAAAAGAAAAGAAATTCTGACACATGCTACAACACAAATGCCCCTTGAGGACATTATAACAAGTAAAGTAAGCCAGTCACAGAAGACCAAGTACTGTACGATTCCACTTATATGAGGCACCTAGAGCAGTTGCAGTCACAGACAAGAGCTGGTGGTGGCCATGGGAGTTAGTGTTCTATGGATGTAGAGTTTCAGTTTTTCAAGATGAATGTGGATGGACTGCAGTGCTGGTTACACAACAGTGTGAATGTACTTAATGCCCACTGTACACGTAAAAACAGTTGGTAAATTTCATGTTATGTGCATTTTACCACAATAAAAAATGAAAAAAATGTCTTTACCTCCTTTGGACAGACAATCCCAGTATAAGATGATGCTGTTTATATAAAATATAGAGATGTCCAAGACACTTTCATTTGTAGTTTATGACTATCTCTACGTGTAGTCAATATGCACAACTGTGCAAAGGAACCACTCCTGGGAGGTGGTCACTTCTTGGGAGAGAACACAGAGGAAGAGCTGGGAGAGGCGTGTGAGCCATTAGTTGTATCTATTACATCATTTCTTTTTTTAAAATTTTTATTTTATTGATTATGCCATTACAGTTGTTCTATTCCCCCCTTCATTCCCCTCCACCCTACACACCCCTACCCCCACCATTCCCCCCTTTAGTTTATGACCACGTGTCTCAAGTTCTTTAGCTTCTACATTTCCCATACTATACTTGCCCTCCCCCCTATCTATTTTCTACTTACCGTCTATGCTACTTATTTTCTGTACCCTCTCCCCCCTTCTCCTCCCACTCCCCTGTTGCCAACCCTCCATGAGATCTTCATTTCTATGGTTCTGCTCCTGATCTAGCTGTCCTTTTAGTTTGCTTTTGTTTTAGATGTGGTTGCTAATAAGTGTGAGTTTGCTGTCCTTTCACTGTTCGTATTTTTTACCTTCTTTTTTTTTTTAGATAAGTCCCTTTAGCACTTCATATAATAAGGGCTTGGTGATGATGAACTCCTTGAATTTGATCTTATCTGAGAAGCACTTTATCTGCCCTTCCATTCTAAATGAAAGTTTTGCTGGATAGAGAAATCTTGATTGTAGGTCTTTGGATTTCATGATTTGGAATACCTCTTTCCAGCCCCTTCTTGCCTGTAAGGTCTCTTTTGAGAAATCCGCTGACAGTCTGATGGGAACTCCTTTGTAGGTGACTGTCCCCTTAGCTCTTGCTGCTTCTAGGATTCTCTCCTTCATTTTCATCTTGGCTAATGTAATGATGATGTGCCTCGGTGTGTTTCTTCTTGGGTCCTACTTCTTTGGGACTCTGAGCTTCCTGGATTTCCTGGAAGTCTATTTCCTTTGCCAGATTGGGGAAATTCTCCTTTATTATTTGTTCAAATAAGTTTTCCACTGGTGGCTGTTCCTTTCGCCCTCCTGGTACCCCTATAATTTGGATGTTGGAGCGTTTAAGGATGTCCTGGAGGTTCCTATGTCTCTCCTCATTTTTTGAATTCTTGTTTCTCCATATTTTCCTGTTTGGTCATTTTTCCTTCTTTCTGGTCCACTCCATTGATTTGAGACCCAGTTTCCTTTTCATCACTGTTGGTTTCCTGTGCAATTCCCTTCATTTCGATTAATTTAGCCTTCATATGTTCCTCTAATTTGTGACTAAAATCAACCAGTTCTGTGAGCATCCTGATCACCAGTGTTTTGAACTCTGCATCTGAAAGTTTTGCTATTTTTTCATCGCTCAGAGTTATGGCCTCTGGGGCTTTGAGATCTTCTTCAGCCATTTTTGGTCTGTTCGCACCTGTTAAGTATGAGGAGCAGAGCCTTAGGAATGGGGCGGGGCCACCAGGGCAAGGTCGCTGGGTTGTGATGCTTATGTGGGGGAGGGGTCAGAGTGGGGAAATGGCGGCCCTCTCTGCTCCCTCCAGCTGCTGGGGCTGGCTGGATCCCGTCTCACTGCCCACTCCCTTGCTGGTCTATCTGCTCAGGAATGAGCCACCACAGTCAACGTGCCGCCCTGCGCCCTCGCCAGATCCGCGGGTCACTCACTAGGTCACTCGCTGGGTCGGCCCTTTGCAACCCCACGCCTGGGATCCACATGCGTGAGTCTGTCTGACCGAGTTTTCCTGTGCAACCCTGCTCCACCAGCTGCTGGTTTCGCCCCTCTTACTGGTCAGGCTGAAGCATTCGTTGTTATCAGACTGCCGAAAAGTTCAATTTTCTGTGTTCTGGTTGTGTTTTCTATTGCTAATATTTTGTTGTCTCTAAACTTGGTTGTGTGAGAAAGCACGGCGTCTCCACCTATGCCTCCATCTTGGCGAAGTCCACATTATTTCTGTTCTTTTTAAAAAAAGATCTGTGGCAACCATGACAAAGCCTTTACTTCTGTTAAATCTTATTGGTGGGTACATGCATGTCTGTTACATTATTCTATATAAATAGAAATATCTCCTAAATGAAAAGAGAACATGAAATAAACAGAGAGAGAAAGAGGAGCTGGATGCAGTCTGGCATCCTTATGACCTCATCTGATCTCACTAATTCTATTTTTAAATGGCTGTCTCCTTTTCTTCCATGTCGTCACGAGGTGAAAGATGTCTCTCTCCTGCTTCCTGTGACCACTTAAAAACAAACCTGAGTTTTTCATCCCTCACACTGATGCAGCAGTTGACTCGACAAGAGTGAATAATATTGTCATCAGCCATCTAAGTGCTGGCAATGTCCTTTAACCTTGGCTGTTTTCCAATCTCTCCCAACCTCCCTCCTGCCACACAACACTAAGTTATTTGTGTAGTAGGTCCCTTGAGGGGAGGGGTATGTTCTCAGTCATGCTTGCATCTCCATGACACCCAAACAGGGCTTTATACTCACATATACACAGTTGAATGAATGAAAAATGTTTACGTGAACAAACGTGACCAGTCACACCTTATTCTGATCTTCAAAGAATTCTCTCTCAGCTCAGACTAACCAGGTGAGTCTCCCCAAGGGTTGGTCTGATGACAGAAATATAGCTAAGTTGTCAATTCTAAGGAAATAATCAGCAAAACAGATTCTGAGCAGTGGAGCACGTTTCAGGCTGAACTCATTAATTCTGGAAAAAATAGTTGGCTCACTGGCATCAGATTACCACTTTCTCCATTCTTCCTCTGTGGATACCTTGTTCATTCTTACCCAACCACCTGGAGTTAGCTGCCACCCTTCTTTGCCACCCACCCATGCCTCCTGAGCTCCCTGAGCCTGGTCAGGGAGGGTGTGAGTGCCAGAAACGGCTCCTCCTGAAGATGGGTTTGTTTGCAGAACAGCTGACACTCCAGAAACCCCCTTGTCTGTCAGTGCAACAGGTAGACAGTAGACATGGACTGGTTCTGTAACAGCTGACTCCAAACAGGCATTTCGCTAATACCAGAAAAGGAGAAAGGTTGACTCCTTACTCCTAAGAGAATTGGAACATTGTAGACACCTGGTAAAATTCACTGAATGGCTGACTAAGGATGAATGGCTTCCAGGCTAAAAACAGTTGGTGGGTTTGTACTCGTTTGATCCTTACTTTTTCATGGACAGGGTCACTGTGATTTCGGTATTGTTCTCCCAACTCACTGGCAAGGGCTCAGACTCCATCTTGTTTCCTTATATACTCATGGGACCTCACACAGGGCTTTGCACATGGCAGATACTAGCAGTTAATCCTTCTGTTGTGATAAATTGTAGGCATTGTTCTAAGATCTCCCCATATACCAACACACTTAGTCCTCACAATCCCTCAAGTAGGTAGGATTGTTCTCTCAGTTTACATAGGAAAAAACGGAGGTGTAGGGAGACCAGGGACTTGCCCAAGGTCAAGATGAGGAGCTAGGAGTTATATTTAGTCAGCCTGGCCCCAGCATCTATGCTCTTGATCATAAGCCATATTACTTCCCACAAAATGCTTGAAAAAGTCTACTTGATAGCATATGTTTATACTCATTTGATAGACAGATTGTATATACACACACATACATACTTCCAGATGTGCCCATATATGTGTGTGTGAGGTTTCTATTTGCCAACCATTGTTCTATATGCTGGGGGGTACAGAGAAGAGTTCTTGCCATAGAGAAATACTTGACAATCTGTAAGAGGGGAGCAGATATATAAAGAAATTATCTTAATATACCATGGAATTAAAACCCACCCAGGTCTGTGTTACAGACTGATGAAAATGGGGGGCGCTGGTCCTGTTTCTAGAACTGGGTGTGGTTACATGGCTACACTCACTGTTTAAAAATTCATTAGGTTATACTCACAGGAATGTGTCTTTTTCTCTACATTTGCTGAATTTTAATAAAGTTGACATTTAAAAGCTTTAAAGGTGTCTTGGAGCCCAGAGGATGTAGCACAGCAAGGATTTCGAGGTGAGCCCCTGCCTGGCCCTAGCATGGAGCTGTCCACGGGCTTTTTTCTCCGGGCACAGCCTGCACCGTCCAAGGACCTCAGCTGCCTTCACATGGCGTCAGAACGTTCACTTCCTCCTTGGGGCCTTCAGCTGCGATCCCCGCAGATAACAATTTTATTTTGGGGAGAGAACTGAGTGAGGGTCCATTTGGAGACATTTCCAGGGCGTGTCCTTCTTGCTAAGATCAGACTCTGACTGGATGTTGTGAGGGTGATATGGGGTTTCCCACACAGGCACACAGGGGAGGTGAGTCACAGGACAGAGCCTGCACCTGGGGAGGACAGAGGCCGGGGCTACAAACCCTTCTCCTCTAAATGAAGAGATGGTCCGGGCTGGGGGGACCACAGCATGCCTTCTCTGTATTGGGCTTATTCTGGAAAATTCAATTTTCTATATCTTCCAATAAGCTTCATTCGACGAAACACAAAATTCCATGCAACCTTCATCTGTTAGGCAGGCGCTTGCCTGTAGCCCGGGCATGACTAATTCACTGGATTTTCCTCTTATTCAATGACAGTATAAATGTTACAGTTCAGCATGAGCAGATTGAGTGATTTTATTTAAAGGTTTTAATCAGTTTTTTTAAAGAAGTGATGTATTCACTAAACAATAAATAATTTTTAAATGAATCTGAGCATATTTAGTGTTATATAATTTGGCAGTCCACTTTCCCCCCAACCCCAAATTATGTGTCTAACAACCTGTGGCCTCAATAAAACATTAATTTAAGGTATAAGATAATTTATACAATATTGTAACTGAACACAGTAGGGACGTGCAGTACCCCACTGCTTCAGACCAGACTGGCACAATCAGCATCGTTTATTTTTAGAAGCAAAAGTGATTGGCAAGTTAAACACAACAATTCGAACATTGTTCCACTTGACTGAGATAAGATATCACTGCATTTGACCATTCTTGTTTTGTTTTACCATTCAACTACCTTGCAAACTGATTTTACTATAGGTAGAAATTGGAAATTTTAGAAGAAAAAATATTTTTATTTTTATTTGTTTTATTTATTTTTTTAAAGTTCTCAACTGAGGATATGTTTATTGATTTGGCAGAGAGAGAGAGAGAGAGAGAGAGAGAGAGAGAGAGAGATAGACATTGATGGAAAAGAGAAACATTGATTGGTTGCCTCCTGTACACTCCCCAACCAGGGACTGAACCTGCAGCATAGGTATGGGCTCTGACTGGGAATCAAACTGGCAAGCTTTTGGTGAATGGTTTGGCACTCCAACCAATTGAGCCACCCAAGGAGAGCAAAAATGTTTTTAAAAATAACAGAAAGCTTTTTTAAAAAAAAATATTTTCTTTATTTATTTTTCGAGAGAGGGGAAGGGAAGGAGAAAGAAAGGGAGAGAAACATCAATGTGTGGTTGCCTCTCATGTGTCCCCTGCCGGGAACTGGCCTGCAACCCAGGCATGTGCCCTGACTGGGAATCGAACCGCAATACTCTGGTTCACAGGCCCGCGCTCAATCCACTGAGCTATGCCAGCCAGGGCTACAGAAAGCTTATTTTTAAATTCATGTCTTTTCAATTATAATTAAAAAGAACGTATGGGATACTTACACATACAATCAATTTGTGTCAGTTAAGGAAAATAAATTCTGGACTCCTCTGTCAACAAACCTGTGTGGGCAACACATGTTACGATCCTTTTTTTATTTTGTTTTCTTTATTTATTTTTCGAGAGAGGGGAAGGGAAGGAGAAAGAGAGGGAAAGAAACATCAATGTGAGAGAGATACACCAACTGGTTGCCTCTCATATGTGCCCTGACCAAGGACTGAACCTACAACCTAGGCATGTGCTCTGATGGGGAATCAAACTGGTGACCTTTCACTTTGTGGGATTACATCCAACCAACTGAGCCACATCGGTCAGGGCGGCTTCTCTTCCTCTCACTGTGCACATGCTCCCTCTCTCTTTGTTACTCTCACTAAACTCACTATCAGGAAAGCTTGAGATGTTCACTTAAACTGGAGGGTCAGTGACTGACAGGGTGCGTGAGCATTCTCTCACTTAAAGATACTGGACTGAGAGGCTGAAGCCAAGGGGTTTAGCGAAGGATGAGATAGTGAGTGGGAGCTTTACCTGGACTCAGCTTTCTGAAGTCCACCCCAGAGGGGTTCACTGTGGACATCAGAGCCCGGCTTGTGTGCCTGTGCAGATCTGGCAGCCACCAGCACTGGCTAGCACATGGACACCCTAACTGGGGCACCTGGTGGCAGGTGGTCAGAGAAAGTCACGAGTGCTTGCCCCGCAAGGCTGCGAGCAGCTTCTGTTTCCCACACTGCTTCCAGAGCCTTGGGTTCCGGGACATTGTGTTGAGAGTGCCGGCTGCCTTTCTGCACCCTCTGCTCCTCTGTGTGTTCCAGGTGGGCTGCTGAGTATCTGCTCATGGCCATGACCGACACAGCCATGCAGAGGGCAAAAGAGCCCCAGGCGAGGCTGTCAATAAAAGGCATAGTTAGGAAAGGACCTGGGCCTAGGTTCCAGGGCTTCCTACTGGGGGTCAGCCTGGTGACAGTCCAGCTCCCAGCTCTGCCCAGTTTGGACTGGGATTTTGGATCACCAGTGTCAGAGCCCAGACAACGTGCTGTTGTAGGTTCATGGCTCAGGGAGTGGATTCTGGAGGCATAGTGCTCAGGTGCACTGGGGCTTTGCATCCATCTCTCATTAACTGTGCAGCCATAAGGGGCTGACTTCACCTCTCTGTATCAGTTTCTCATTTGCAAAACTAGGACAACAGGAACACGGTCCACAGGCTGGTTGTGAGGCATCCAGTGAGTTAATGGTGGGAAGCACTCAGCGCAGCATCTGCTGCATATGGTGCATTTTGTAACTGTTGTTGTTGCTCTAACCCAGGACACTGGCATAGGGCATTGCTCTTTCTACATCTCTGCCCTCTGGAAGCCTATTGCTTCTGAGACGATGGTCTACACTTTTCATCTTTCATAGGCCCCAGCAGAGTGGTTGCTGAGAAAGAGCCTCTATAAACTGACATTTGTGTATGTTTTCATGGGCTTGAATTCTCAGGTGAAATAGATGACTTCATACGCAAACACCTAAAACAAAAGCCCACGAGTAGGTAAGTTCCAAGTCCTCTTCAGAGCTTCCAGGCATCCTTATATATGATGTTGACAATCCAGCTTGTGGGTAACAGTAACACAGGCATGTTCACCAAACCCTGGCACAGTGTCATGGGGGTGCGAGCCTTGACCATGTTATTTATATTACAAAGAGGAAAGTAACACAGAAGGTTGTTACACAGGATGAAAATGTAAGTACGTGTACATATATTTATTTGTAAGATGAAGCTATGGTTTGGAGGTTCACATTGAAGAGCACCCTGTGGTCGTGTACAACATGGCTGAGTCTTTGTGTTAGAGACACAAGTTCAATGTCATGGCCTCATCTTTCCGTTAGAAACAGCGACTGGGTCTCCTGCCATTAAAATATTTATTAGGAGTTATAGCACAAGACTTTATCCCCTCAGCTGTGTTTAAGAATATAATGACAATGATCTCCTTTCTTGGGGATTTTAGTCTGTACCGAATATTTTAGAAACATGATCTCTTTAGATCTATGAAAACATTTGAGACAGGTACCCTCAATTCACAGATGAGGGGACTGGGCTAAGGAGAGGTTAATAAACTAATGCAGTTGCAAGAATAGCGGGCGGCAGGGCTATGACCAAGGGCAGCGGCCCTACAAACCCTGCATGCATTCTTGCTGGTGCCTCAGAACTTGGGCACCCTGGACAACTCACCAGTATGACCAGCCATAATTCCATGTCTGAGGCCTCCAGTCTTCTGGCCCAAGGCTCACAGCGATTTGAAAAATGGTTATGTACATCACGTGGGCCACCATGCCCAGGAGCCCTGCACAGGACAGTGAGGTGAACCACAGTTGGGGGGCAGTTTTTCCGCCTGGCATGAGATGGATGTAAGGAGCCCACTAGCATCCTCCGTGACCCCTTCTGAGCAGCCTTCACATTTCACAGGTGCACTAATTTCTTACTGTCACTGGTCTATGCACTGGTGTATGTCCCTTTTCCCTGTCATTTCTCCCATGACCACCTCTTTCCATCTTGTCACACCCCTGGGTCCCCATGTTGCAGCCTCTCTTTCCCAGCACAAAGGAGGAGGCAGTTCTTGAGCTGCCTTTGGCCGGAAGCCACCCCTTACAGTGTTCTGTCATGTTTTATTTTTAATGTGGATTGTTTGCTGACACTTAAGAACTAGGATACCTGACACAAAAGTCTGAGTATGTTCTGACTACACTAGATTCACATGGCAACGATCAGTGGGGACTGAAGTCAGTTGCCAGCGTGAGGTTCTTTCCTTTGTAAGTGACTCGGTCTTTGTGCATGGAGACCTAGACAAATTTTTTCTTTGATAGTTTAGGAGGATGTGTGTAGGACTTGGAGGCACTGTGCCAATTTTTCCAGGTATTTGGAGGGAACTTTCTCTATATACATTTTGGTCTTTTGTTCAAGAAAGTTTCCTTGAATTTTACTTTTAAATATTAGTCCTTTCACTGTTTTATCTTTCTTTTTCAGGGACTCTAATTACAAATATGTTTTAACTTAATAAATGTAGGATGGGCAGTGGGCAACTGGGGTCCAAGTAGAAATGGGTTTTAACTGGTGGTGGCAATTATTTATATATTAATGGAAATGTCTAAAGTTCTTATGATGTACCTGAACTTATTAATCCTTAAACATGCTACCAGACATCTCTTTCATGCAGCTGAAACTCAAGGAGACATCCAGAAGGAGGCCTACTCATGACCTTGAAGGACCTTGGGGGAATGCCAGGGAGCCGCCAAGAGTCCACGGCCTGGCTCTTGCCTATGAAAATCCAGAAATTGGACTTTATCATCCTGTTCACTGATGATAAGCCTTGGAAAAATGTTTTATAGTTACTAAGCCCAGAAGGGATCTCCCCACTGGACTGACTGATGCCTATTAATTTTACAGAGCTTTTCTCTGCCATTACCCTGGGTTCTTTTCTTGGTAATAAGCTCACCTGGGGACCAAATTAAGTTGCTCTAAAAGTTGTTTGGAGAACACAGAAGTAAGGCCCCATAAGCAGTTCTTTATTCTTATGGGATATTTACACTAAATATCCCATGGGATATTTACACTAAACATGGATAGTCATTTTTACCAGGCTACTATTTATTGAGCACTTACTATATACTAGGCATATTCTTATGTAGTCATCACCTTTTGAGATACCTAGCTTAGAGAAGTCAGGTAACTTGCCCAGGACCATACAGCCATTAAGTAGCACATGGCTGAACCCGGGCAGCATTTCTCCCCAGACTCCTGCCTAACCACTGTACTACATTAGGCAACTTGTGCCTCGGAGTCTGTGTCCTTCCTTCCTGGGGTTGTGATGAAACACACTGATGACTTTATTCACTGTCTATGCTTCTTCCCTTTCTTTTCATCAATTACCCAAAGCCTCATCTCTTCCCCTCGGGAGATTAATGAACTCAGTGGTTTTTGCAGTAGACCAGCTATCCTGTTGAACCTGCCACCAGCAGGAAAGAGCCGGCCCAAAGCTTTGCAGCTCCCTTGAGGTCAGGCAGTGTCTGCCAGAGTGACACCAGGGTGGTACCTGCAAGCACCATGAGGACGGCTACAGCAGCATCCACCTGGAACCAGTGAGACCCAGAGCTGCTGTAACTCACTCTGGAGCCCAGAAGGATGGCGCTTGTCAACATCAGGAGGGTATTCAGGGCCTCGGCCCCGATGGACAGCCACAACACACCTGCAAAACATAGGCAAGTCAGGGATTCTGGGTGCTTGGAACTCAGCAGAATTAGGATATTTGAGCCTTAGAATTTGTTCACTTCTAAAACGAAAAATAAACAAATGCCATGGGGTGAAAACCACAGCTACCTGATGAATCTTGGGAATCTGGGAGTGAAAGGGGCTCCTAGGGCTTGAAAGAAGAGTTTGTAAAGGGCATCCTTTGCTGGGAAGAAGAAAAAAATAAAAGAACTAAAGCAAAACTCTGATGTGAGTACATGAGAGAGATACTAGGGTCTCCATCCCTCAGTTTCAAAATTAATGTATTGTTTTGATTTCACCAGGATACATTATCTTTTTAAAGACGAAGCTAGACAAACTTACACAGGGGCAGAGCAGTCTGAGAGTTTTAAGAGCCCTGATTTCAGATGCCAAAGCCTCACTTTTTTTGTGTGTGAGCCAGTTATTTAATCTCCGGAGGGGGTCTCACTTGTAGCTTCAAGGAACTGTGTTGGATGTGGAGGGAAGTAGAAAGAGAGGACAAAAAGGGAAACTAATGTTTTGTAAAAGGCCTCCTGTAAGGCAAGTTAGGTACTGGGGACACAGCAATGAACAAAACGGAAGTGATCCATGCCTGTACTCCAGCTGGGTAAACAGATACTAAGAAAGAAAATATAAATTGGATGCATGTTATAGAAAAAGTGCTACAGGCAGTGATCTGCCAGAGCTCATTTCCTCCCAGCTCTGTGTTTACCTTGCATCGACAGCTTGAAATTGGCCACGGTGGGAGTATTTATACCATGGAAAGGGGCAAATGCTCCCAGTCTAGGCTTCCCCTTCACCCCCACCTGGCAAAGTTGGTTCTTTAACATTTAACAAAGTTGGTTTTTCATGTTCCACTACAGGGCAAATGAAGACAGAGCCAGTGGTTCTAGCTTTTGGACTCAATTAATGAAAAAAAAAACACCCCAAACTATCAATAACTCTCTCATCTTTCCCCTACCCCCCCAGATAATAAAAATTGTCCAAACTGTGCAGAGCTTGTGGACAGAACATGAGTAAGGTAGTCACCTTGTTCTTCAGCGGGTATTATACTCTGGAAACTCCTGCACCTTTCACCTGGAAGACAAGGAAAGTATATTCATAAGTAGGGTAAACCTTGATAATTAGGGGCAAACTGTGTTCCTAGCTCCTTGAGTGTATCCCAGGTCATTCTGAACAAGGACTGGGGAGTGTGGCAGTCTGGTTTATAGTTCAGAGTCATGTAGTGCCCCTTCCTGTGGGAACATGATACAGTCCCGCCCTAGTGAAGCCAGGGTTGGCCACGTGACTTTCTTTGGTCAATGAATTGGGAGCGGAAGTGAGGTGGATCATTTCTGGTCAGAAGCTTGCAAAGCCAGTGTGTTGTCCACATGGGTTTTCATTCCCTTGCCTCTGTGATCACAGAAGTACATGTCCAGATAGACTCTCCATCAGCCTGTGTCCCTGAATGGCTTACAGCGAGGAGTCATTCCTTGTCAACCTGAAAAGTATATATAGAATGAGCTACAAATGAGTTTGTTGGTTTCAGTCACTGGTATTTGGGGTTGTTGGTTATTGTAGCAGAACTTAGCTCATCTGGACTGATTCTGCCAGCCTTAGACAGGTCGTACTCAGCTTCTGAAACAGCATTCATTATGATACAAATCTCAAATAATTTGTTCCTGGTTAGAGGAAAAGGAACAAAGTTAGTAATGATTTTTTTAAATGAATTTGAACAGATTCGGAACTATCTTTGTTACTCAGTGACCCAGTTACTTGCATTCCATCATGCTTTCTGGAGCATGAAAGGAAAGGGAGGATTTACTGTGCACGCGCCAAGTACTGGGCAGAGGCCACTACCAGACTTGCTTTGTGCACCAGGGAGGTGTGCTTCGGATTTATCATTGTCAGGTTGCACATGCTGGCTGGCAAAGCTTGCGCCACTACCTTAGATCTATAGTGCCTTTGAAAGAGCTCAACCCATGAATGTCCACTTGGTGTATAGATGTAACTAAATTCTTGTTTGGGGATGAGTGACAGATGGAGAATTGAGACTACAGCAACTCACCCTGGGGGTCCTGTCCCAGGTGGGAACCCTACTTTTTCTCCATGCATATGTCAGCTCCACACTGAACCACAGGCTATAGAGTGGGAGGAGCCTGGGAAATCACCTGGTTTTCCCCGCCCAGTTTAGAGGAGCGCATCCAGAGACCTCAGAGGCAAAATGGCTGGTACAAAACAAACAGGCAGAGGCTGTCTCAGCATTGGAACTTGGGTCTACAGGAGCGCAGCCCAACGCTGACCACATCACTGATGGAACACAATCCAGCAGACAGCAGGGACGGTGCCAGGGAGGTAAAGAGGCTTGAGACACTAGGGGCTGTTCCCAGATGGGGCTGGTAGCAGCTGAAATGAATCAAGATGCAAAAGCTAAGGGGCGTAGATCATCAGCTCTTCAAAGGAATGGCTCCGCTGTCTCTAAAATCGGTTCAGTAGTCCCCGCATGCGCTTTGCCTTGCTGATTAACTGAGATAGACAGGAAAGGTTCTCTCACAGTCAATATGCACTTAAACCTTTTTGGAATAGAATGAGTTCTATTGGGCAAGTACAGGCATACCTTGTTCTATTGTGCTTTGTTTTATTGAGCTCTGCAGATACTGTGATTTTTACACATTGAAGGTAAGACCTTCTACCAGCAAAACGATGACAGCTTGCTGAAGGCTCAGATCATTAGCGTTATTTAGCAAAAAGTATTTTAACTAGTATATACATTATTTTTTAAAGACAAATGCGATCGCACATTTAATAGACTACATTATAGCATAAACATAAATTTTATATGCAGTGGGAGACCAAAAAAATTCATGTGACTCGCTTCACTTTGATATCCACTTTATCGAGGTAGTCTGGATCCAAACCAGCAATATCTCCTGAAGGTCATAAACCTGAAGACTTGCCAGCGCCTCTTCCTAAAACTGGGCCCCATGCCTTTGAGTTCCCGCACTGCCCCTGTGCTGGGCGGTAGGAAGAAGAGGAGCAATGCCTGGGTTTGCGATGCAGCCATCTGGCTGGGCTGCTCTGCTGGGATGTTTTCTGACTTGCATGTGCAGCAGGAATCCATTTGTCACACAACTGTCCCAACAAATGCCTTGAAGGCAGGTGTGTGCACACTCGGGGCTGAGACCACAGTCAAGGCTAATCTTTAGCCACAGGGCCTCTCAGCTTTTTATTTCAGTGTACTTTGGATCGACAGGATCAGACGTGTATCCTGGTTGATTTTCTGATTTTGGCAGCAGTGGCTGTATTATGATCCTAATAGCAAAAATTTGTCCTAGTCCCTCAGTTCTACCAGGGAGGTCCCCACAGCACTGGGGAAATCTCAGCACTTAGCCCTGCTCTCTCTGTCTCGTGGGGTCAACGTGGCCCTTTCCCCATGGCGCCTCTTTACAGTCTAAGAGTTAGGACTGCAGTGAGAGCAACAGATGGACACAAGATGGAACGCAGCATCTACATCCAAAAGGCCTGGCTCTTGTGCATGGTTCTGCCACAGTCAGCAATCACGGGAACTTTCTTGACCTCTCTGAGCCTCACTTTCTTCATCTGCAAAATGGGTACAATAAAAGTCCTCCAATATAAAAGTACAGGATCCAGCACAAATAACACCTGCCTTTATTACAAAATCTTTTATTACAAAGTTATAAGCATGTAATTCTGTAACATAACAATATTACACTCAAGCATACCATATGGCATTTAGGTGAAATGTTCAAATTAAAACTATAAATTATTATGCCCAAATTATTATCCTACGAACCACACTCAAGCAGGCATTACTTCTGCTGGACCCTGAATTTTGTGAACTGCCTTACACTTGTTTTTGTGTCTAATTATCGGTTGAGGCAAGTACAAACATCCATGTATTGCAATTTGATGGCCAGGCTCAAACAGGTTGGTGGAGCCAGGAACTGAAACTAGGTTTTCCCACCTGAGACCCAGAGAGCGCAGACAATTAAGGGTCTGTCTGGACTTTGGAAGAGGCTGCCTTTTCTCATAGGACTAACACAGAGGCCAGGTACAGAGCCAGGCACAGGGCAAAGAAAATGTGGTGGTTAGCCAAGGAGATAAAGAGAATTTACAATAGCTTAGAAGGGTGAGTTTAGCCTGGGTACAAACAGTCAGACCATAGTGACCCCTTGATTCCTATCAATCCCCAGAAGTGGTGTTCCTTTTGAATAAAGCCAGCAGGATTAAAAAGCAAAATCTTTATAAATCCCGTGAAGCCAGAGTGGCGGGTGCTGCGCAGCCTGACGGTGCTTGGCTGGTCAGGCGGTGCAGCCCGCCAGCCAGCCCAGCAGAAGGTGCCCAAGTCCTTGAAGGTTGTCTCTGTCCTGCCTCATTTGCTTTTAACCCCACCCTTTATGGGGTGCCCAGGCCCCTCTGCCCTTAAACTCTTCGAGTTTAGAAGAGCAGCCTAGAATCGGAAATCAACACATTTCACCGACTAATTCTTTAGCCTAAGGAAAAGGACATTTTGTCTAAGTGCTGCCTCAACCAGGACTTTTCATTCTGAGTGTTCATTTCAGGAGGCGGACTCAAAGGTGCTGTCTCCCTCAGAGGCGTGTCAGGTATTAGGAAGGAAGTGCGGCGCTCTCCCAGGTGCCTGTGCAGAGGCTGTTCTGAAAAAGCACTTCAGGCACAGAGTCCCAATGTGGGTCCTCTCTTAGGGGTCAGAGACCGAGTAATTCAGAGGGAAAATATCCCGGGAACCCCCAGGCACACTCTCCTCAGGGCAGAGTCCTTCCTGCCAGGGCTCCCTGGCACCCCTCACACCTTCTGACCCTCCCTCTAAAGCTCTGCCTGGTGCCCTCCCACGCCCCTCCACATCACCTGGCACTTGGGATAAATTAGACAAAGTAGCAGATGTTTGTGTGGAGTAACCTCCCGCTGGAGCCCCGCAGCACTCAGCGGCATACAGGTTCTCTGTGCAATGTCTCCCAGACCCTGGGAGAGCTCTCGAGGAACTTCCCCGGCCAGCCAAGGCCCTGAGAAGGCTGAGCTGAGCAAGGCGCAGGAGGAGGAGATTTCAAGGCCATTTGGCATTCCCTGCCAGCCTTGCTCCATTCCCTTTCGTTACCACCTCCTGTAAGCATTTACTTGCAACCTCTGAATATCTTGTGTTTTATCCTCTTATGTGTTTGCTGTTATTTTAGTCAGTATGTGGTAAAAATGTAATTCTAAATATTTTGCTTGAGGTGTATCTCATAACACATGAAGGTGATAATGTTCTCCTGAGGGGAGAGGTGTCCTTTCTGCCTTCTTACTAAAATGATGACACTCTAATTTAGAGATCCCAGTTTACCTGCTGGCATTATGTTAGGAACCATATGAAAATGTGAGCAGAGGCTTTTCAGACTGATGAACACAAACTGGTCTGTTGATAACTTTAAGACAACGAATTGGCCTTCAGTTGAGTTTTGGGGATGGTGGGGTACCAGGCAAAGTCTGGCTAAGTGTTAAGAAATTTGAGATACATGTGTAGCTCACAGGTGTCTGGCTGTATAGTCTTCAGCGGGGCATTTCCAATTCCAGGTTCACCATCAGGAAAATGAGTCTGTTGTTCTAGATCACTTTTCCAAAGAGTGTCCCACTGAACACGAGTCTCCAAAAATGTTAATCCTTATTTTATACAGGTTTTTTTTTTTTTTTTTTTTGCAGGAAATACTGGGAAATGTGTCAGTAAACAGGTTTCTTTATTGTGGGACTTCTGAGATATTTTAAGACACTAATGAACACTGTGAATTTCCAAGAAGAAAAATGTAATAGGTGACATTTTCCAAATTTGTTTGACTATTGAAACTCTATTTAATTTTACAAAGAATATCTCAACTAGCATCTCTGCGGAGTAATCTTTGAGTAAACCCAGCAAGGCACTTATTAAAGCCTTTTCCTGGCTTGATCTCAAATGTATAAAGTGCACCTAAATCAGAAAGGGGTCAGTACATTCTTTGTTTCTACTTGGCCTTGTCCGAGAATCACTGAGAGTGTCAGCCGTCCTTGGACTGCAGCATGTGCTCCTGACTAACAGTGTATGAAAACCTGCGCGTGGCGTGATCCACGAGAAGGCGGCGTGTGTGGTCAGCACTTGATGGCTGGACAGAAGCACCAAGGGGACTCCTGCTTCTGGTGGAAGAAGCCTGAAAGATCCTTACACAGACCCTCACTGTGCTCTCTGCCCAGGGACAATCGATCACCAATCTGCGTAGTGTTTGTGTAAGTATCTTAGGCACGTGCCACATGTCGCTCGATAGTATACAGTTGAGTCTGGTTCTCCCTGAATCTCAGAGTTTGCTTTTGCTGAAGAGATAAAGTTTCCAGCCCCACCCTTTCCACAGGCCCAGCCCACAAAAAGTCCTTTCTCCCAGTCAGTCCCCTTGTCGCTGGGGAAACGGTTCTCATCCACCTCATTTTCTAATTCTTGTTCGCCGGTTCAGGCTCTACTATGGTCTTGTCTCTTTGACATGACAAACTGTAATGCTTCTAGTTTCCTCCTGTTAGGCTTTTCCATTCCAGGGGATGTTGTTCCATTCAGTTCCTTGTCCTGGAGCGACCATGGCCTTATGCTTCAGGGGAGGAGAAGCTGCCTGAGGTGACACTGAAGAGCCATGTGAGTTAAGTTCTGTGATGAACCTTCTTCCTCTGCCCCGCGTTGTGCTCTGACACCAGCGCCTGGGCTGCCCCGCCTCAGACCTTTGCTCACTGGGCGTCTGCTTGGAACATCTGCATGCCCAACCTCCTCCTACTAAAATCGCCGCTCTGCTTTGAGGCCTGCACAGTGGCTGCCTCCCTCCCGAAAGCTTCCCCATAGAAGCTGGAAATAACCTCTTCCTCTTTTCTACTCCCATATCCTATGTGCTTCTTTGTTGTAACCATTCCCATATTTTCCCTTGTTTTAGTTTTATCTCAGTTCTCACCACTGTGGTCCACTCACCTTTCCTCATTCTCCTAGTTCTGTGGCTTCTGTGGAAATGGCCTTTAGTGAATTTGTTCCACACTACAGCGAGTTCCCCCTTTCCAGAGGGTTTGCTGTACCCGGGGAATGGGGCGGGGGCTCAGCAGAAACCCAGAGAACACCAGAGAGACGAGAGAGCTGAGGGGACTAACCACAGTGCTATGAGGACGGGAAAAGAAAAGGCAATTAGAAATTCTGGGGAATTCAAATAAGCTGTATAAGAAACTTAAAGGGATGGCAGTACCTCCTTGACTTTGTTATGAGCAGTATTTATATAGTCTAAATAAATAGCTGATTTACTGATTGAAATGAAGCATCGATATGATGACATCGGGAGGATGGCAGAGCAGGCATGGGATGTGGTGGCGTCAGAGGTTTATCTGTTACAACGGGAAGTCGAGAGAGAATGTCTAACATGAAGACAGCAATGTCTTTGTAAACATAGAGACAACTCCCAGAGGAAACGACTAAGCCAAATGTGGTTTTGCCTGAGGGTCGGGACTAGGTTGTGGAACAGGAAGAGCAGGGGACTCTTCGTTCTTATTATAAGCTTTTAAAATGATTTAGCCCTGGCTGGTGTAGCTCAGTGGATTGAGCGCGGGCCTGTGAGCCAAAGGATCGCGGTTCGATTCTCAGTCAGGGCACATGCCTGGGTTGCAGGCCAGTTCCCAGCAGGGGACACACAAGAGGCAACCATACATTGATAGTTCTCTCCCTCTCTCCTTCCTTTCCCCTCTAAAGATAAATAAGTAAAATCTTAATTTGATTATCTATCTATGTGCAAATGGTACCTTGGCTAAATTCTTATTAAAGGAATGCAGACTTTTAGACCCCATCCAAGACCTGTTGAGGTGGAATTCCAGCGCCAGTCACCCGAAGTCGGTCAGGCTTGTGGGCGACTGTGGCATGCACCTACAGTCACCCACAAGTCTGATAACTGGCGTGACGTCACATGTAGCTATGGAAATAGAAGTGGGCTGTCCTCAGGTAAGCACTTGGAAAGGGAGTGGAAGTTCCCAAACAATTTGCCTGCATGTGTTTCCAAACCAAACATCTGAGACTGCCTTGGAGACCCTGCGGAATGCGGGGTCCGAGCCTCCCGGGTCTGTCAGGAGGGTGGAGAGACATGGGGCAGGGACTGGGCAGGAATAGCCTCGCGTGCAGTCCCCTCCTGTTGCCTTTTCCTTAGGTCTCAGGAATAAACAAGCATTGCTGTGAGTAGGAGAAGAGAAGAGGCAGCCGAGGCAAGAGAGAAGTGGGATGGGAGGTTGGCTCCCTTCCACCTGGAGGGCGCGCCTTTGCCCCAGGAAGGGCCGCGCATCCTGTCCCCCAGCTGGGCCTTGGGTTTGCAGCCCTGCTGCCCGCACTGAGGAGTCCATTCTCCACCCTCTCAGCTCTTTATGAGGTAAAAACACTCTTGGCTGAATGTATGTGCTCCAAATACTCATCCTTCCTTTCTGTCTTCTCACTCCTCTTCCTTCACTATTTCCCTCACTGCTAATCTGTCAGACTCACAGAAGTTCAAAAGATGTCGGTGAGTCGGGGCTGAGTGATGTGGTGTGGAAGGGAAGGGGATCGTCAGTTATGTGGGGTAAAACTCTTCAAGCCTCAGTCTCCTCATTTCTGAGCTGAGAAAATAATTTTTACTTTGCTGTTTTTTTTTTCAGAGAGAGACACAGATAAAGGCCTAACTTGTTAAGGGTTTTGCTTCTGGTAGGTGCTCTGCAAAAGGGGTCCTTTTTCCATGAATGGTGTTGAAGTTCTGTTTTCTAAGAGAACCTTCCGTTCCTGGACCCCTTAGAAGTGCAGGGATGCAGTTTAATGAATATTGATACTGTGTGAATCCAGTCATTTAATCTTTATACTGCTACCGTTCCTATTTTATAGATGAGAAAATAGAGGCTGAGAGAGAGAGAGGCATGGGGACTCGTGCGAGGACACAGCTAGGCAGCCCGCTCCAGAGCGCCTGCCGCCCCGAACCTGTGGCCATGCTCACCTGCGCCTCCGCCCGGGCTCTCCTCACAAGACTGCCAGAGCCCCGCGTGGAACCTGCGTCGGATGAACTTGTCGTCCCCCATCTCCCAAATGTACTGGACGGCCTGGCTCTCCTTGCCTGTTCTGCCGTCGCCGCTGCCCCCGCTGAAGTGAATGCAGTGCAGTCCTCCTGCGTGGTCCCGACATGGTGTCTTGGCCACCCTCCGGGTCCCCTCACACCAGTGGCTGCTGCCCAGGGCTGTGAGGGAGAAGGCCAGGGCGAGGCAGATGGGGAGGAGGGCCAGCGCCTGCTGCCGCCGGGCCCTGTCCATGGCTAAGTGAGGTGTGTGGCATCGGGATGAGCAGTGGGCCCCTCCTCCCCCTCCTGGCCTTGGCTCCCCCCCTCCCCGGCCCTGCCATCTGGCCTCCTCAGTCTTCTGTGACATTCCTGGGGCATCGGTGCGCTGCGGCTCGCGGCCGTGGTGGCGGTGCCTGTTGCCTGAGAGGCCCTAGAGGAAGCACAGAGCTGGGCCGGCTCTCATCTCGGTCCTCCCCAGGATGGAGATGTTTGTTTCAGCTTTTTGTTGTTTTTTTTAAAATTGTAGTGAAATGTCATAGTTATAAAGTTTACCATCTTAGTAATTTTAAGTGCACAGTTAGGTGCATTCTCATTGTGCAGTCTCCAGAACCCTTTTCATCTCACGGAACTGAACCACTGCGCCCCCGCTACACTCTCTCCATTCCTCCTCCTCAGGCCCTGGCAACCAGCACTCCGCTACTTGTCTCCATGAGTTTGATCACTCCAGGCGTAAGTGGAGTTGGCCTTTTCGTAAGTGGCTTATTTCACTGAGCTTGATGTCCTCAAGGCACATCCACATTTACGCAGGTCAGAATTTCCTTCTTTTTAAAGGTTGAGTTATATCCCATTGAGTGGAGGTAGCCCATTTAGTTCATCCAAACATTTGGTTTGTTGCCACCTTCTGGCCGTTGTGGAGGGTGCTGTTTTTTTATGGAAGGCCAGGGGTAATTTGGGCAGGTTTCTGGGCGTAGCCTCCTGACCCTTGCCTTTGGCATTGAGCAGGGTCCTCAGCCTTGGATCTGGGGAATCTCAAGACCTGCACAGCCTGTTCCCTGACCAGCCCCACAGTAAGGGACTTCCTGTCCGAGGGACCCTGAGAGGCTCGAGGGACCCTGAGAGGCTCGAGGTACAGGCGGCCTGATTCAGGCCTACATGCTGTGCAGAGCAGGGCAGGCTGCTGACTGCCCACGTGGGTGCAGAATTCAGCACTATCCTAGAACCTCAAAAACTGGCAGGCAGAGTCCCTGGCCCATCACTCAGGCCCTTGCAAAGGAGGCTCTCCAGGACTGGTGGCACAAAGGAGACTTATGTTGCTTCTTGGACAGAGGCAACATAAGGGCAGCTGAATAGCAGAAGATTCCGCATGGCATCTGAAAAATACAGGTTCTTGATTACATGGGAAATACCTCCTTCAGACCCCCAGGCATAACTGAGAATCTTCCAGCCTGGGCAGCTAGGCGGAAAGGGCAGTGGCATTTGGGTTAAGCCTGGGGAAGGCTGAGGAGCTGCGCTGTCAGCTGCTTAGGAGCTGTGCGCATTTGGTGTACCATTTTTTTGTCACTCAGTGCCCTCCATCAGATCGTCAGAAAAAAGGATGTTTTTGAGAAAAAGAGATTAGATTAAATATTCTTACCAGGCAGGCATTTTAAGATAGCCTTAACTGTGCAGGTACAGAATAACTTTATAGCCACACGGACAAGGATCAGGGCCCATCCCTGGGCACTTTTACCCCTCTGTGTCACATTGTCCTGTTCTCTGTTGTCCCAAAGAGATGACCACACTGATTCCAGAGGTCATATCATTAGAAAAGTCCACTTTGGAGGTCTTTATTCTTTATGAGCATTCATGGGTGAGGTTTAAAATCTTGCCAAGTGGTGTTCTTAAGACTTCCAGGTGTTTCTATCAAGTGTTTGATGCTCCTCTGTTTTCCTCCAGCTGTTCAGAATCCACTCAGATAAGTTAACCAAGATGTGCTCCTATGGTTCATCTTTTTATCTCTTGCTGACCTGCATTTCATCCAATCTGGTTGTGTTCCCCTGGCCCTCCAGTTTGGGAGGCTGGGAAGACTTGGAAGGGGGTGTGGGGAGCTGGACAAAGAGGTGGGGTGAGAAGGGCCAAGCAGAGCCTTTCAGAGGTACAGTGATGAGACTACTAGAGAAATGGAACCTGCTTTGAGGGTTAGGGTAAGGTAAGGCAACTAACCAAATAGCTGTGGTTAGTATCCTGGCTCTGCCATTTATTTGCTGTGTGGCCTTGGACAAGCACACTAACCTCTCTGAACCTCAGTTTCTCAGCTGTCAAGTGGAAAAATATCACTCTCACGGGGGTATTGTGAAGACGAATGAAACAGGATGTTGGGTGCAAAGCTTCTGTAGATGGGAATTGTGATGAGGAAGTACAAATGCGGTAGTAAGTGACGAATTGTGTACTCCATAAAAGGATCTGCCAGGTGGGCTGAATGACAAGTTCAGAACAAGTGGGAGATGAAGAGGAGTGCATGTTTGACTTTTCATAGCAGATTGTTTTGCTATTACATAGACAGAACTAAAGTCTCTGATTGGGTTTTTGCTTAAGACTGTGGGTCAGGAGCTGCTCTCCCTGGAGCCGGGCAGCTGTTTCTTGTGAAGACTTGGCACATCTAGGGCCCAGAGGGGCCTGGACAACCTTGGTGGCTGGGCTCAGGCTGGCCTGGACAAGCTTCATGCCTTAAGAAGAAATGTCTCCCTCAAGAAGACACCCACCTCAGACTGGCTCAAGAGGCTCATCCTCTCGGGCTGGCTGTTCATCCGCGGCTCAAACCCAAGCCTGTTGCACCCTGGTCCTGTGTATTGAGCCAGGCCTCAGGGGTGGAACCTACTGACCACCTTGCTTTTTCTCCTTGGCTTCTTCTGAGGTTTTCCCAGAAAACACAGCCGACTCGGGGGAGGTCTGGGAAAAATCTCCCTGGCTTTGCTGGGGTAGGTGGGGGCCGAGCCACTGCTAATGAAAAACTTTGGCGATTCAGTAGATTGGTCTAGACGCTCTTGACGTGGTGTGGAGAGGGTTTGTGCAAACATTTCCTCTCTGCACGAAGAGGAATGCAAAAGGAGGCTGCCTGTGGTACATCCTGGACTGTTGGACAAATGTGCCCGCACTTGTGAAAGTGCAGCGAGGAAGCCGAGGCTGGTGCGGAGCAGGGCAGGGCCTGGGGTCTTTGCAGCCCAGGGGCCAGTCCTCTCCCCTCCCGCGGGATGTGCTCTCTCCAGTCCGCTGCTCAGCCCTTCCTCGCTCTGCTGCTTCTGGTTTCCATCAAACAAGTAAGAGCAGTCTTTATTATGACTATAATTGTTATTATTATCAGTTATACACATTTTCTGATTCTAGAAGCAATTTAAGGCCTCTTGTAGGCAATTTGGAAAATATACAACTGTATTAAGACAGTGATTAACTATCATCCTGGCATTCAGATGTAATCACTATAGTATTTTGGCATCTTTTGGCATCTTTTCCTCAAATCCTTTTACTATGCATTTTTCTTTTTATACAGCTGAAATAATGATGCATAAAACATGTTGTATCTTGTTTTCCCCTTTATGTTATATTATGAATATTTTCCCGCCAGTGCAAGCCCCAGAAGTGTTGCTGCATGTGGCCTCCTGTCCCCTTTCATCTCGGTCTCACGGTGGGGATTTAGGTTGAATAGATGGTTGTTTTCTTTTTCTTTCCTTTCTTCTCTCCTTCCTTCCTTCTTCCCTTCCTCCCTTCCTTCTTTCATTTCTTCCTTCTTTCTTTCCTGCTTTTTTTCTTTCTTCCTATTAAAAAAGTATAGGATGCTCATTGTTTTAAGAAGTAAACTTGTAAAATCCAAAGAAGTGTAAATACAGACTAAAGCTCACTGTGATACCACCACGCAGACATGATCCTCATTCACATTTCGGGACTCATACTTTCAGACATTTTCCTACCATTTATTTATATATAGTTACTAAAAAAATAACGAACAGAATCTTACTATATATCTTGCAATCTGCTTTTCTCCTAACAAAATTTACTAATAAAAAAAACACTGGCCAACATTTTTATCGAACACTTACCATGCATCAGGGTTGGTGCCAGGCACCCCCCTTATATGATCTCATGGCATGCTCCCAGCAGCCCTGTGAGGGGAGTCCTGTGAACCACATTTTGCAGAAGAGAAAACTAAGTCTCAGGGAGGTTGAACATTTTTCTATATCAGTAAATGTAACTCCACGGCCTGAGGTTTGTGGGCTTCAAGGGTGTACTCTGATGTGTGCAACCGCCCTCTTTCATTGGGCGCTCCAGGAGCTTGCCTTACTCTCTTCCTAGGAGCTGGAACCTTTGCTCCTACCCTTCCCAAGGTTCCATTTTTATCCTGGGCCATGATGTGAAGGACCCCAGCTCCATTCACCTGAGTAAGGAAGGTGCCTTGCAGCATGTTCTCTCATTCCTTTGATCCAGGGGCAGAGTTAGTTTCCGGCTGCAGCCGGGGGAATTCTAATTCCTCCCGTCCCCATGGGTGGGGGGGCTGGGCTGCCAGACCTCATGTGGTCACCTTATTAGGCTTTCTTTGGTGCTAGACCAGGACCAAAAGGGCAGAAAGCCTTGACTGAATTTTCTGCATCCAAATTCTCTCCAAGGCAGCCTTGAAGCCCTCGTAGCAGATTGTAGATGTGAGCCCAATCGATGATTCCATGGAATTCTTGCAGGGTGACAGCCTCCTCTTGGTTAGTGACCAGAACATTTTTTTTTTGTATGTGAAGGGTTTATAGTATATAAAACAATGTGTTTCTAATGCCCGAACAAGTTTTATCTCATTGACAAATATCTTACATGACTTAGAACAAAAGCAAAAAATATGGAACGCTTCACGAATTTGCGTGTCATCCTTGCGCAGGGGCCATGCTAATCTTCTCTGTATCGTTCCAATTTTAGTATATGTGCTGCCGAAGCGAGCACTGACCAGAACATTTTTGAGGGCAGGTGGCCCTGGCCTGCCTCCTACCCCAGGACTTAATTGGTCAGTGGAGGGGCCATTGTTGGAAAGGTGACACAGAGCCCTCACCCTTGCTTCAGTTCTCTGTCTCATGTTAAAACAATATATTCAACTAGTTATCTAGTTTTGTTCCCCTTCTGACCACAACTATGCACTGATGGCTGATTAGGGGCCAAGCACTGCTGCAGAACTTTGTACTTATCATAGATCACCTTGCTTAAACCCTAAAATGAGCCTCTGAGAAACTTATTATTACTGAACCCATTTCACAGACCGGGAGATTAAGATTCACAGGAGTTAAATGATCACCAGTGACCATGCAGCTTGGGAACCATTACATCTCTGCAGGGTGTTTGGAGAACTGTGTTCTTCCTCAGCATTCCTTAGAAGCTGTTGACATATGGATATTTACATGTTAAGACAGCAGGTTCTGCAGTGGGTCTGGCCAGCTCCCACAGGGACAAAGCCACACCTTCACTCCTTCGCTTTGCTACTTGCATAATCAATAATGTGCCTGTTAGCATGGCCCCTCCCCCCTCTGCCACTTGGTCTGTTTTCAGAACCCCTTGGCTCTGTCTGTCCTGCAGCGTGTCCATAATCCTGACCGACCTCCTCCTGGTTCTCCAAATGTTTATATGATGAGGCTTTGTGTAGACTTTCATGGTGCATTTTGCTTGTAGATGCTTTCCCTGCATGGATTATAAATGATCGTGGTGTGTTTTCTGGCAGGAAGTCTTCATAAAAATTCACTTAATGAGAAATTCTCAGGGACAGTTTTGTTTCTACATCCAAGCAGGGAAATAATGCTTTGGCCTCCTTTCTCCCTCCCACCCCTCTCCCCTCACAACTCATTTAGGTTGATTAGCAGTTGTTTGAGAGTCAAAAATATAAAACTCTTTAAGGATATTCAAGAAATGAATTAATGGTTCTTTCATACATTGTTAATGGGTTTGTAAAAAGGTACATATTTATAATAAAAAAAATTGGGGGGTGAGTATGCATAGTTGGGCCGTACATTATCAACTCCTTTAAAAATGCATATGTTATGAAGCAGAAATTCCAGTTCAGAGAATTTCTCTTAATAAAGATGTGCTCGAATGTTTATGAATATTTTCATTACAGCATCATTTATATTAGCAAATAGCTAAAACAACACATCTCCAAAGCTAGAAAATTAAAAAAATAAATTATATTACATTTATCCCTAGAAAATTATATAGCTGTTAAAATGGTGTTTTAGAAGAATAGTTCTAGAAATGGAAATATATTCACAATATATCTTCTAGTGAAAAAGAGGCTACAGAACAATGTGATTTCCTTTTTGGTTAAAATTAAAAAGAGACAAGGGATACTTGGTGCAGAGAGAATAATTTCTGATTAATAAGATTCTGATTTTTACCTTCTCCCTCTTTGCTTATCTATAATTTTAATTTTATTTACAATGAAGTATAGTCCTTCCATTACAAATAACATTAGAAGATTTATTTGAAGAAAGTCAACAGAATGCTTTTTTCCCTGTTTTCCTGAATCCCTTCTCCAACAAGTTAGTCATTGATGCTGTTACCTAAGCAAGAAGAGGATCAGAATCACGCTGGGCTTTCCCGTTAGAAAACATCCACTTGTGGACCTCCTTTTCTCGTCACTGTGTCTGGATCTGGCTGTGACTGAACTTGCATTTGCCTGTTGTGTTTTTGATGTCTTTAGGACACGTACCTGGGAAGATAGTCTGAGTGTAGCCCTCCCAAACTGACCAAAGTTAGTGTTGCTTATGGTTTGTATTTTGTTTCTTCTGTTTCTGAGCATGGCCCTTAGTCCTGGCAAAGAGCAGGGGGTAGGAACATGTTAGTCCAGGGACAGCTCATATGTATGACACTGGTTTTATTGTCTCTTCTTCACCCAGATCCCAGTGAAGTCCCCAAGAAGGCACATAGCACTCTATTCAAGAAATGGTCTTCCTTTTGTGACTGGGCAGATTATGGAAGTTTACAATCGGTTTATCAACTTCTTTGATAGATTTATAAATCTAATATAGAGTTAGTTAGGTTCCTATTAGGATGTAAAACAGCCTAATGTGTTAATAAACTCTCATTTTGTCTCTTGGGCCACAACACAGAGACATATATTATTAATGGAGATTCAAAACTCATTGGAAACTGAAACCAAGGGATAAATGCCAATAACTTCATCATCATTATCACCATCATTATTATTTATTGGGTAATCCCGTGGTTCCCAAATGGTGTGCTAAGATGCTCCAGGGCGCTGCTGGAAATTCACAGGGGTGCTCTAAGATATTTTAATTTTTCAAGGGAAAGAGCCATCCATGACAGCTGTGTGGATTACCAGCTGGAGAGAGTTCATGGCTTCAACATTATATCATGCTGGGCTACTTTGGTGATATTGGGTTTTCTAAAGTTGCTGTGATGAAAAGCAAGTACTACACAAAAATCAGTGTGGAACAAAGGTGGTTGTGTCCAATCTGAGTCTTCGGTTTGAGAAGTTGTGCAGTGCCCAGTAGGCACCAAGTTGTTGGGACGTAAATACTTGTAAAGTTTTGGGGACTTACCTGATTAGTGGGACTTGATATTTCTTTTGGCTTAGGGATGCTTTGTTCCGAATGTGCTAAAAATTGAGAGAGTTTGGGGTCCTCTAGTCTTGTGATGACTATACCAGTTCTTCAAAAACTTGGCTGTGTGGTTCTCTGGAAGAAATGCAAAGGAACTACGCACAGACCCCATTGTGGATGGTGTAGTACTGGGGGATGGGGCTAGATGGGCAGAAATGGTAGACTGGACTGATTACTCAGGAAGTGAAAACTGGCTACATGTCAAGCTGATAGATTTATTTTTTTGCTTGTTGTTTTGTTTAGTTTAGGGTAGTGTGTTTGTATATGTGTGTGCTCGAGTAATTTTAGGTGGAGTATCTCCCAATTTACAATAGGCTCCCCTGGCTTCCTTTTGCTAAACCTGTCCTACTTCATTCTTTCAGGTTATCTACCTGGCATTTGATGGTGAGACCAGACAAAGGCATAAACAAAGCCAACTAATTAGTGGTTGATCTTAGCCCAGATCACATATTTAAACCTTCCCATGTTCATGCCCCCTTCCCCTGATCCACCCCACAGCTATGCCTCTGTTTCTTTATCTGGAAAATGAGGGAGAATGAGGACAGTAACTCCAGCCCTTTTCTAGGGCCTTGTATTCAGAGATTCATCCCCTTCAATTCCTCTCTAATGCAAAATCTGGCACACAGTAAGTGCTCAATAAAAATGAGTAAGTTGAAGAAGAAAAATCACCCATCTTTTCTTTGTAATCCTCACCCAGGGATACATTTATTGATTTTAAAGAGAGAGGAAGCCAGGGAAGATACAGAGAGAGAGAAAGAGAGAGAGAGAGAGAGAGAGATACAAGTGAGAGAGAAACATCAATAGGTTGCATTCCATACATGCTCTGAGCAGGGATCAAACTGCAACCTTTAGGTGTAAGGATGATGCTCCAACCAAATGAGTCACCTGGTCAGTGCAAAAAAAAAAAAATCTCTTTTAAAGCCAAAAGAAGTGGTACAGATATACAATTAGAAGTTGTTAGATAACTCAATTACCTGGAAGACCGGAAAAATATATTCTGTATATCTAAGGTTCTATGGGATGAAGTAGTTAATGTCAGGAAGAAAAAAACCCCAAAGCTTCAGTTCAGTAGCAGAGCATCTGTCTGCCCAATGTCTTCAATTCAGGACATCCAGGCACTTGGGTGGGGTGGTGCAGAAACCTGGGTGGGAGGGTGTGGGGCCCTAGGTGGGCGCCTAAGTGGCAGGGTGCAGGCCCCTGCCATTCCTCTGGTCCTCCTCTCACACACAGTTGGGACTTCTTAGTGTGCTACTAATCTCTTTGACATCCCCATGGTCTTTGAAGCATGCAGCTGTTCTTCTGGTAGGGTGTGAAACTTCAGGATGAGTATTTTGTATCCTCTTGAAATGTCGACCTCATTCGAAGACTTTGAAAAAAACTTTTCATAATTTATATTAAAACCAATAGGATTAGATTTATGGAGTAAATGTAAAATCCATATGTATCTTTTAAATAGAACTTAAGATGCCAAAGAAATTCTATTTCTTGGTTCAAGCCACTAAGGGCCCTGCAGGTGAAATGTTTGAGAATCGTGGTATGAAATGATAACAGGACCACTCTTGTGCTTGCAGCTGACTAGGGGGTCACCATGGTTTTCTCTGCTCAGATTTCAGGATCTCTCCTTCAGGAGACAACTCAAAAGTGGGCTCAGTATAAAGAGAAGTGCCTGAGAGACTTACTCAAAAAACCTTCTGGTAAGTACAAGTATTCATTATTTGTGGCTGTGTAACAAGTGGTCCCAAAGCTTAGTGGCCTACACCATTAATAATAATCATTTGTGATCTCTCACAGTTTCTGTGGGTCAGGAATTTGGACTAAGCATGTTGGGGATGGCTTGTTTCCGCTCTACAATGTCTGCAGTATAGTTGGAACACAAAGGTTGGGGGTTGAAAATATCCCAAGTTCTGTTCACAGCCATGTCTGCTGGTTGATGCTGGCTCTCAGCTGAGAGTTAAACTGTGAATGTTGGCCAGAGAGCTTTCACATGGCCTCTTTATCTGGCCTGGGCTTCCTCACAGCATGGTGGCTGGATTCCAAGGGCAAGATGACCAGAAGCCAGGTTGCCTTTTATGACCTAGCCTTGGAAATCACTTCTGCCATCTTCTGTTGGTTAGACAGTTTTACCCAGGTTCAAGGGCAGAGACCCCACCTCTCGTTGTAAAAGAGCATGTGAGATGGGGTGCATATACTTGTGGCCATCTTTGATAAAAAGCATTGGCCACTGCTCACTCATCATCTAATCACATAACTTGAGCAACTGTCATAGATTAATCTGGGAATCTATTGAGTGTGTGTCTGTGGGGTGGGGCAGTCCTAGGTCCTATGACTAAAGCTGAGTCATAACATTTCTCTGTCCCAGGTCTATGCTAAGTTCAGAGCATTATAGCAAATACGTTAATAGTTTGGTCAGTCCATGGCTTCTCCTGCCCACATACTGACTCTTTGGGTGTGGCCAGATTCTTCCATTTCTTTTTTTTTCTAAGAAATAGAAGATTCCCCTTTTTTTTCTTTCTAAGGAAAAAAAAGATAAGAAGCATTGGCTAGTTGCCTCTGTGCACTGGGGACTGTGGATAAAGCTGGCCCCTCCTATTCTCCCGGTTGACAAGACACCATAAACTTTTTGTCCCTTTTCCTGACCCAAAGGTAGTGCCCACCTTCCAGCTCACCCTCCCCCCTGTAATGACTCCTTCAGCGAAGTAGGCAGCAATCACCACCTCCTGATTCAGGGAGCCCTGCTTTCTGACATCCCAGTGCGGCAGGTCCTCCTCAGCTGGAGCCATGCCTGGAGTGGCTCAGGAGTGCTCACGGGAGGGTGCTGACACCTGGCGTCCAGGTGCATGAGGTGCTGGAGCCAGCTCCTAACCTAGCTGGTTTGTGTTTGTGGGGTCCCAATGCTGGTAACCTGGCACTTCACCCTGAGTTCTAGCCTAACAGGGAGCAGATGGTGGGGGATGATGCTGGGTTCCCAGGAGTGAGGGGACTGCAAAACAGACAGTTGAGATTCACCCTGAAACCCTTTCATTTGATTCTGGGAGGACTACAAGGCTGGGGCTTATGTTTGTAGCTTCTCCTCATCAAGCACTGGAGATGGTCCAACTACTGTATAATGATCAACAGACCAGGGTTTGGATGGAGAGCTATGACCAGGTAGTGCTTGTGTCAGGTGCACATGACAAAAGCACCGGTCCTCTTGCACATTTCACATTAAGGGTGTTCCAGGTGTAATCGGTGAAGGCTTGACAGTTATTTAGTTCATATGGAACATGAGGTGATGGCTGAATGTCCAAGTGTCCTCCTGACCCTGAGTTCCTGTGAGAGCTCATTTCAGGTAAAGTAAACCAAAACCAGCATGATCTGTGCATTGGCATAATTGACTGGACAACTGACAGAGGTCACATTGTCTAGACAAAGCCACAGTGCTCAGGGCTGTGTTTGGCATTCCTGTGCCCCGCATGTTGTTCCTCATCCTTGACCTGCCTGGATAGCCAGATGCCCATGTGGGTCCCTGCACAGGTTATTACAACTTCTGATGCCAGGAGGGCAGGCTCAGGGCTCCTGGCGCCTCTGTCTCCATCTGTGGACCCCAGGCTCTGGCAGCGCTGTTCACTCAGCCCTTCTTCCCCCTGCAGGCATATTTTGTAATGGAACCTTTGATCAGTATGTATGCTGGCCTCATTCTTCTCCAGGAAATGTCTCCGTTCCCTGCCCGTCATACTTACCTTGGTGGCGTGAAGGTAATGCCTCATTTTACTGATTTCTGACAGTTTCCTCAAAGGCTAGTCTCTCGTAGGTAGGACTTCCAGGAAGCAGTTAGAGAAAGGGCTCCAATCAAGTGCTTTTCTCAACTCTTCTCTCACCAAAGATGTCCTTCTAAGCCACCAGGAATACACGCTCCTTCTTCTCTCTGCTTCTCTTATCTTCCTGCAACTCTTCTCTGCCTGGATGTTCTGTTAATAAAATGGTCCTCTTTTCTTTGAAATGGTAGAGTCTAGGCCTGGTTTCCATGGCATTGGCTGTGGTGAGGGTAAGAATTAGCACTGTAGTGCAGGGGAGAAAGAGGCAGGGGCGAGAGATGGGGATGCTCGCATCCAAGCAGCTTCGGCTTGTCAGGTAAAGAGGAAGGATGTTGAAACCACCCTCACCATAGCGCTGGAAAGAAGTGCTATTGAGCGGATGTTTTTAAGCCCATGGGGTGTGGATGGAGAGTTGAACCACTCAGTCTGCCCTAGTCCTGCAGAAAGGAAGTGATGGTTATTTAGGATTTCAGAATGATTCCCCATCCCCACCTGCCCCAGCAACTCAGCCTCTTGGTTGTTTCACTGGAGGGAGAGAGAAACAGTTACTGCTTAGAACTCTTTTGCCTTTGACCAGAGACCATGGGCAAATGTAAGAACAGGTAAAATCTTGAGAACTATTCTCAAGAAACATAGCAGGTACAAAGTTCTGGGCAAAACAATGTGAGAATGGGTGTCTGAGAAGGTGAGGTGGTGATATTTTGTATTTAATTTCAGTCCAAGGAATGATCACAACAGTTAGAATTTGGTTTCAGTTTTTTGAGGCCTCCATTGCAAAGGGAGAGTTTTGAAGGAAGATGCACTTCTGGGTGGCAGTGCCAGTGAAACTGTCCTCTGGTGGGTCCAGTGGGATCAGCCCAGGCAGGAGTGGTAAGGAGTGAGGCTCCCAGGAAGGTGGGAGAGAGGGCATGAGGGAGCTTGCTGGGTGAGAGGGCTCAGCTCCATGGGCAGTGAAGAGCGCCGGACACAGAGTCAGGAGCCCTGAGGTCAGACCCCATCCCTCTGTTCTACCCTCAGGCTTTTGGCAAACTGCCAGAGCCCTCGGAGCTGTAATAGCTGACTCCTAAGGTCATCTCGACAAATAAATGAGAAGGCACGCACTGAGTCAGGCACACAGTGGGTGCTTCCTAGATGGGAGCTGAGGCTGAGACTGAGTTCGAGCCCCTTGAACCCCTCTGGGTCTTTAAGGCCCCAGATGAGCGTGGATCCCTCAAGGGCACGTGGAGCAGACCACTGCCACCACCCAGCCCCACCGTCTGCCTGTTTTTCCAGATGGTGAACATAGAGGTCCATTGCACTTTAAGAGAAAAAGTGATCAGGAAGTCAAACTTACACAGAAATGGAGTTAAGGCTTAAAAAAATGAGTTGTGGAGTTTTAGAGTGTACTGAGGGGACTGTGATTCACAAAAGGTGGGAAGTTGCTTTTCCACTTGACCTTTTGTGCATGAAATCTTTAGAGTCCAAATGGGTTCCTGCAGTGAAAGGAAAATGTGGAGCCAGGGGAGGGGGTTAGAGAGGAAGGGATGGAGAAGCATTCTTGTGAGATAACATTAGAGGAAGGAGCATCCTGATATGAGAAGGGAGCCGGTGTAAGGGCGGATGTAAGCTGTAACGGTGAATACAGCTGTAATGGTGGCTACAGGCTGTGATGGCTTTATATGGCTGAGGATGAGGCTGGGCCTGACTGTGCAGGAAGTTGTATGCTATGCTAAGGGTTTTGAACTTCTGTGGAGGAAGATTATGTGGAGCCACTGAAGGTATTAAGGCATGAGAAGGACATAAGATTTGTGGTGTGGGGGCAATGACATTGGTGGCCTGTGGCTGTTGGACTGAGGCATGAAGGGGGAGGCCAGTCTGAAAGCTACTTCAGTGGCCCAGAAAGAGATGGTGAGGGATTAGGTTCAAGCAGAGGCAAAAGGAGAGAAGAGGGAAGAGTTTTAAAAAATATTGGAGGTAGAACAGTCAAGACTTGCCATCAGATGAAGTGGTAACTGAGGGACAGAGAGGAGTACAAGGTGGAGGAGGGAAAAACATTCTCACATCACATTCCACCTGCCCCCTAACACCCATCATGTGGCTGGAAGCCAAGTCTTCTCACCCCTCTTCTCCCCCCACCCACTCATCTTCACTCTCAGCCGTTGCTCTCCCATCTCCTTGACGGTCCCTGCCTCAAGTCTGGCCCCCTTCCAACCACCTGCACAAAGTTCTCTGAAACGCACATTCGACCATGTTGGCCCATCATCACCAACACCCCTGAATAGTGCTTGAGACCTTCCATCACATGGCCCTGCTGACCTCTCTAGCATCTTCTCGCATCTCCACTTCAGCCAAATAAACAACTCCAAGTTCCTACACCTGCCCAGCCATTGCCACCCAGCACCTTGCCCATAGTTTTCTGTCTATAAACCCAACTTTAATCCACAGCTTGAAACTTCCATTTTTCTAGGAAATTTCTCAGATTACTCCCCACAGGTGCAATGGCTCCCTGCCTTTCCGAGGCCTCTTATATACCCAAGTGATCTATCACCTTAGCATTTACAATGCTTGATGACACTTTTATTTGCATGTCTCCTCCTCCTCCTAGACTTGGGGCTGTCCCTCTTTTGTCTCTGCCTTGAAGGACAGTGTCAGGTGACATGACTGTCACTCACCCATTCATCAGATATTTATTGAAAATCTACTGTGTGACAGGCATTGTTTCAAGGGCTTAGGATATATTAGTGACCAAAAATAGAATAAAGTTTCTCAAGTGTGGGACTCACATTTGAACAACAGCCAAATAATAATCAAGAAACATCATCAGTAAGTATGGAGTGCATTTGAAGGTGATGTATTTTAAACAAGATGGGAGGGAAAGATATGGGAAGTGGGAGTGGGCTTTGTGACAGGGTTTGTCTTGGTGACAACTTAAAGGATTTAGCCAATAGGGGAAGAGTGTTCAGCAGGGAAGGAGTCAAGGAGTGCAAATCTGCACTCATCTGGCAGCACGCCCACTGTGTTCCACAAAGAGCAGGGAGGCCAATGTGGCTGGACCGAAGGGGAGAGAAGCAACAGGAGGTTAGTTTCCGTCAGAGAGCACTGGGGCCAGACCTTCCAGGACTTTGTGGGAGGCCATGAGGACTCTGACTTCTTTTCAGAGCCCTCGGTTGATTCTGAATGAGGCGTGACATGATGTGACTGACACTTGTCTTAGTTCATCCTGACTGCTGGGTTCACTATAGCCCATGAGTATCGAAGGCACTCACAATAACCCGGGTAAGAGATAATGGGGTCCCAGTTAGGGTAACAGCAGGAGGATAACAGCCGCCAGGGACACTCCTTCGGGGGAAGGGCTCCTGGAATAGATGTGACTGAGTCACACAGCAGCCGTGTTGGGCAGGTCACTTTGCCTCTCACTTGTACACACAAACACTTTCACTTAATCCTCCCCCAAACTGAGGAGGGACAGTGCCATTCTTATCCATAGCTGTGATGTAGAAGCCAGAAGGCACAGAGGGTGGAAGGGCCAGGCTCAGGAGAGGCTGAGCAGGCCTCCTCCACTGCCATCCCTTCTTCACGAGCATCTGGAAGGGATGCGCCCTGGGACGCGTACCCAGAGCCCTGGTGGGTGTATCCAGCTGGCCTATGCCTTGGGGAGCTCACCTCTCCCAGTCCTTGAGGGCTGTTCTAACTCCAGAGGCTTCAGTAAACACAGTGGACCATTAACGGATCATAGCTTCTTACAAAATGTAGAGGCTGTCCTGTTTTTCTTTCTGTCCCAAATAAACAGTAGGGATGTTAATGAGCCCTCCTCCCTCCCCCCCGGGAACAAGGAGAAGTAAAACTCCTTTCCCCTGGGATTTTCCACAGCTCTGTGGTGAGGACTGGGCCCTCGGGGAGCTGGCTGCATGTTCTGACCTTTCCCTCAGAGCTGTGTTTACTTTCAGAGGACTCAGGAAGGGCCTACCGACACTGCTCGGATCAGGGCACTTGGCAGACGCTGGAGAACTCCACAGGTATTTGGCAGGATGACTCCGAATGCGCTGAGAACCACAGCTTCAAAGAAAATGTGAGTGTGCTGGGCTCAATGAGAACAAGCTCTGGGGCCGAGCCACTGTATACCCTCCGCCAGGGCCCTCCGTGGCCCAGTGGCGTTAAGGCCCACGCAGAGAGCCTTCCCAACAGCTTCTCTGCCTCAGACTCACCCAGGAGAGACCCTCAGTCACACCAAACAGCACGTCCTGTGGCAGCCACTGAATGGCTTCTACCTCAAGGGTGGAAGGTGACCCCCTAAGGGGATTCAGCCTCTCCGCGCTGTCCTGGTCGTTTCTTTGCGGTTCCCTCTGCCTGAAGCAGTCCTCAGCTCTTCTGTGGCTTCTCCTTCTCATCGTTCAGGTTTCAGTTCAACGCCTTCTTCAAAGTGAAGTCTTCCGTGGCCACCCCATCAAGAGTGGCCACCCCATCAAGAGTGGCCTTGACCCCTTTCCACCACGCCCCCCCCCAATGCTCCGACAAACTCCTATGTTTGCTTATTTGTTTCTAGCCCTCATTAGAACATGCACTCCACAGCAGCAGATGTGTGTGCCAAGCTCAGGGGTTTCGAGCTGAGGGTTGAGGCAACAGCCAAATTTCCTGCCCAGACTCTGACTCCTAGCTGTTCATACCCAGACCCTTCACCTCTCTGTTGACTCAGCTTCCCCATCCATAGCATTTATTGCATGTGATTGCTGTGAGGATTCAATTAAATAGACACAAGTGTTAAAAGATATGCCATTCTTCGGGAAGAACCTGACCCCAGTCGGCACACCTATGTAGCAGTGACTGCTCTGTGACCAGGACCGAGCACAGTGATGGGAAGTGAATCAGCAAAACAGCTCAGCACAGGTTTGCTTCAGACTCCTATCCACACGTTTTCTTCCCAGGGTCTTATACCGCAATCCCCACAGGCATGGCGCTTCTCCCCAAAGACTCCTGTGTATACAGTCCCACCCACTTTCCTTCAAAGTGAGGTGCAAAAGGCAGCCTGGACAGAGAAAAAGGTGTTTGGGAATCAGGCAGATATTTAGGGCCGTATCTTGGTTTCTTTTAGACAGTCAGACATGAAGTGCCTACTGTGTACTAGATTTTTGCACTAGCCACTGGAGCTTTGAGTATCCGGTGGTATAGGGACAAGGTGGAGACCTCTAGAGATGCCACCTTAGGAGGTTAGAACTGTGCACAGTTGGAAAGGGAGGGACATAACTCTGAGTAGGCTTCGAAAGGATTGCTCTGGCCAGTCAGAAAGAGAGGCCAAGAATGGGCTAGGCTAGAGGCAGAGTGGGGAGGGCAGGCAGGAGCCACTCGGTCACTCAGCCCAGATGGGGAGAGACCACCAGCAGGATGGAGGGAAGTGGGAGGCAGGGTTTATAGCTTTCTGAGGAGGGAAATAGTATGACCAGATGCTGTGGGGAGGGTGAGAAGGTAGAGCCAAGGGCAACAGAAAGGTCAGGTTGGCTTGGGCCCCTGAGGAGCTTTGAAATGCCCCTCATTGAGACTGGGGACACAGGAAGAGTCCTTCCCCTACATCTCTCCTGGGTTCTGGATATTTCACTATCACTACAGAATTCCTTGCCCTAAGTGGAGACTGCAAACTGCGCCCTGTTCCCTGCCCCAAGTAGTGGCTCACTTCTTTCAGAATTTAATTGGATTTTGACATTTGCTTTAGCTTTCCTAAGTCGTTTTAATATTTTTCCATCAGATGTTAAAGATATTTTAATAAAGTTTGGGATGTGGAGGGAGGTAAGGAGTTTAGGTCTAGTCACACTAACCATGTGACTTTAAGCCACATAACTTCTCTCTAAGCATCTACAAAGTGGGATTGATAATACCAACTTTGCCCAGGCTGGTGGTGAGGCTTGAGGAAACAGGGGGTGCCACATCCTGGCACCCCCTTGGCACGGCGTAGTTACGACTATTGCATTTCATCTCCTCAGATCGTCTCCCCTGGTCTCCGACAAACTCAATTCTTTCCCTTCCCGGCCCTTTCTCTACTCCACTCTGGGGGCAATGGTCACGGTCCACTTGTCATCATGAGCTTTAGGTGTCTGAGGGTGGCTTTTCTGCTGTGGCTTCTTTGGTTTTTTTTTAAAATACGTAATAAAGAAAATAATTTTCTGTGAAGATATATATATATATATAAATATGTAAAATTTTATGCCACTGAAAAGACCTTTGATTAATTTCAATACACTTTTATATTTTAAGCTGCAGTAATACATTTAAAATATCAGATGCTTTAAATATTTTAAGTATCTTAAATAGGACAAGCGAATCTTTAATTCTTAAATAATTCTAGTCCATTGAATGTATCAGGCTTATATGGTGAGTCTTAAATTTTCTTAAATAAGTCAATACTATTTTCAATTAAACTTAAAGTTAAGTACTTATTGACATATTTCATAATGGAGCCATGATATTAATCCTAATACTCTAATAAGTTATATCCTCTAAGTAGTAATACCAATTACATAGAGATTGTCAAATACTTTTAAAAGCCTCTATCTGAGGGACAAATAGAAGGATGAACATGGGATGATGCCAAGTGAAATATTGATGGTAGCATCTAGGTGGCAGGTGTGCAGGTATTTGTGAAACTCCTTTAACTTCACTGTATGTTTGGTCTTCCTGGCTGTGGCTCACTTCCTTTAGAACCTTGTGGGAGTCCGCATGCCCTTGGCTTTCCTAAGTGTAATATCTTCCCATTGGGCATGAAGAGCCTTCCACGGGATCCTCTAAATCCACAGGGAATTCTTTCTAAACCTCTTTTTAACCTTATTACTTGATTTGAGTTGACAGAATTCTGTGTTTCTTATATAGTTTTACCATATGACAGGTCACGCCTCTTAAAGGAATTAAAATGATAACAGAGGCTAACTTGGATTCAGCTTATCTCAGGCATTTGTCTGACTTTCATCAGGACTCTAGACTCATGCTAACTGCATGGCTTGAATTAGGCAAATCGCCTGCATTTCTTATCTTCCCTCATGCACTAAGCTGCTGGAGAACAATGACAAAATCATAGCTTTAGGTAAATACCCATCATCCCCTGACCTAGTACTGGGATGCATGCACAAAACCCTTTGCATACAGTGGGTTCTGAATACATACTGAGTAAGTGGTTTCACTGATTCTGAGTGAATGGATCTGTGGTGGAGCCTTGGCATCAGCACGGGTGCTGAGTTCTCCAGGTGAGTCCAATGTGCAGCTGAGGCTGGGACTGAGGCCTTAGGGAGGAACCCGCCAGCATGTGTGAGAGGCCTGCTGCTCCCTCTGGGCTTAGGTCTGCAGCAGCCCACATCAGTGGACAGGGACAAGAAAACAAGATTTGAAAACTGCACTTTCCAAGACAGAAAATAAAGATTTCTCTCTTCAGAAAAATGAGGACAAGGGCATTGCCTCCTCCCGTCTGCAAATGGCTGTATTTCAAAGAATTCAAATATTTAAAAATAATAATAAAACCAACTTTTGGACATGTTTACCTGTGTTTGTAATAGAGGGTTGAAATTTTGCCCCAAAAAGGCTAGTGTTAGTAAATCTTTGCCCTTCAGAGTTTTGGCAAACAAAGTATGTTATGTTCTCCCAATTGACAATACACTGGGAGTCCTTAGCACATTAAATGGTACTTTTTAAAGAGATTGTGTGTGTGCACACACATAAGTATTAACAAATATGTTTGGATTCCTTGGTATGAAAGTGTGCTTAGTAGTGTTTAAATAAATTATCTTGTCTTACTTCAGGCTGTTTTTCTTTGCCCTTATATAAGTTCTTTCTATTCTCAAATACAGAATTTAAGTGCTATATCTGTTATACTTTTAATACATTTAATTTCAATGATAAATTTTAATTTTCAAGATAGCCTAAAATATATATAGATATATATATATTTTTCCAATATTTTATTTTGAAATATCCAAACATAGAAAAGTTAAAAGAATAATAAACATTCATAGACCTACTATATAAATTTGTTAATATTTTGCCATATTTTCTGTCTCTCTTTCTGAAATATTTAAAAATAATTTGCTGACATCATGAGATTTTGCCCCTAAATATTCATCAGGTACATCCTAATTTTAAGAACATTATTACACTTAACTACAATGTCATTGTTTCAGCTAAGTGAAATTAACAGTGATTCCATCGTATTAACTAATTTTTCATCCATTTTCAAATTTCCCCAGTTGTTCTCCTCCACCCCTGCCCAATTTTTTATAATAGCTTTTCTATCCTGGACCAGGCTCTGATCTAGGTTCATATGTTGCATTTAGTTTTATATCACTTCAGTGTCTTTTAATGTCGAACAATGCTTCCCCTCTCCAATGACATTGGCTTTTTGAAGAGACCAGAAGAACTTTGCTATAGAACAGCACACAATCTAGATGTGTTTGACTGTTTCCCTGGATTACCATTCAACACACTCTTCCATCTTCTTTATTTCCTGTAAACTAGAAGTTAGGTAGGATTCAAATGAATCTTCGCAGTTGCTGTGTGTAACATCTCACCAGGAGTCCAAAATGTCAGGGGTCACACTATAATGATGTTACATTTGATCACCTAGTTGTTAAATGTGTATATATATATTTCTCCACTTTAAATATATATATATATTGTATAATATACATATATATTTCTCCACTTTAAAACGGAACTGCGCTGCCATGCCAGAGAACTGCTGGTCTTGTGCCTCAAATGTCTGGAATGATAAAATAGGGCAAAACAACCTTTGAACTGGGCCTAAAGCAATATGGTGCCCCAAAGAACTGGTTGCGAAGATAACAAGAAAGCAGCTGGATTGATGACTACTGGATTGATGACTCCTGGAGTGAAGTTTTTTAAATGTTAAAAATTAGCATCACTATGTTATATTACCTGGGCTGATAGAAATGTCTTTCTTCTTTTTTGACATTAAATAACTTTTTATTTTTCAATTACAGTTGACATACAATATTATATTAGTTTTGGATGTACACCTCAGTGCTTAGATATTATATGATTTACTAAGTCATCATCCTGATAAATATCATACCCATC